AAAAAAAAAAAAAAAAAAAAAACGAAAGATTAAAATTTCAAACAAATTACCTTTCGTCGACAACGCGAGTCTCGCACTGTCATTGACACTTCTAACGTGTACCCCCATGGCGTACAGTCAACTCTTCTTGTTATTTCACCTTATTCACGGAGAATCGTTTACGTCTTGGAAGCGTGTACGAATCGACCGGGTCGAAATCACGAAGTAAACTGTCGGCTACATGCCTCGAGTCGAGTGATACGCTTTGGTGAGGCCTCCACGAGAGCAACGGAAGCCACGAGCGTGTAATAAAGATAGGAAGTAACGGGGCAAGAAGAAGAAGAAAGAGAGGCTGACTACTCCTCACAGCCTGCGTGAAGAGAAAGGCGGGGCAGAGAGGAAAGAGAAACCTCACGGTCTCGATTGGAGAGTCCGTGAGGATCGACGTATAACTTCCATTCACTGTCCGGGATCCACGTATAACCTGGTACGAAATTTATTGTTGAAACGACCCGCACAGTTTTGTACAGTCTTCTTCAAAATTGTTCGCTCATATCGATAAATCTGATCGTACTTTTACGTACGATATTATGTAGGATAAATGGCATATGTTAGTTAGGAGATGGCTGACGTGTCCAATAAGAGGATATAATCTGTTTTTAACAAATAGAAGAAACATTTCTATTATTAGTAATTAATGAAAATCCAGGATTGTTGGCCAAAACCCAGACTTTGTATAACAAAGAACGTGAATCGAGGAAAGTGACGCATGGACCGTAATGCTCGGAGAAATTCCTGTAATTTGACGAATTTCCTATCGAAATTAACTCGATGTTCCTTACAAAGTGAGGGGATTCCAAATGAACACACCTGTTTTGATTTATACAATTTTATAATACTTTCGTTTGTTACACAATGTTTGGATTAACTTGACTCAAGTACTTACATAATTGTTAAACAACACTCTTTCCAGATTGGCCGCTGATTATTCATAGACGTAGAAAATATGAAGACAGAACATTTGCAATAGTCAGACAATTAAACAAACGCAACGTGAGTGGTCAATAGCAGCGAACATGTCAAAGAGAATCCGACGCGAATTACGTTACTCATTTTGTCTATATATTCCAGATATATAGGAAGATTTCGATCACGAGTCGTAAGAAATATTTTTCTATATTTTCACTCGCCTTCAAATTCATCTTCCGGTTCTGTAATGCTTGTAAGAGAGATATGCGTCTGCCCCGTGCAGCACACCGACAAAACCACTCATAATCTAGAAGTTATACCGTGATTACTTCAAGAATGGATACAAGTAAGAAATGTGATTGTAAGTAATAGTGTACGTACGTAACTAGCTGTCATCGCGGGATAAACATCGAATCCTGGGCTTATGTAATACTGCGGAAGGAGAAATATCTTTGTAGAAAATGCCAAATAAGAGGCCGAGCTTAGGTACAAAAAAGAAGCCAGGGCGTTGAACATCAGTTCCTGATGAGAAAATGAAAAAAGTTTGTAAGACTGTTAACCTCAGTGTTATATAATATATCAATTTCTCCGAAATTACTATTAAAAATGAAAAGCTCATGTAACGATATTAGTTAAACTGCTGATGTTTATCTAAGTATTTAACTACGTTTGATTAAAATATTTAGGAGCTTTGTTTAAAATGTGAATTTTTTTTGTAAAAATATTTACTGAGACAAGTATTTATATCTTCTTTAATTGCTTTCGCAAAAATTGCATAAACATCCTCAGTGTATACTTCAATGATCAACAGTTGCAGATGATGGTGTACAGATTTAACGTACGAATAACGACGATCGAATTAATTTGTAGGATTTCTCGGACACGATGTAGCAGGCGAGTAACACCGCCGATGTCAAGAAACAGGCGGAAGACGTGGTTAACGATCCCTCGAAAGCTGAACCGATTGTTGTACTGTACTTCAAGCCGTAATTGATTAACAAACTTTGTATCAAGCCGCTGATAATCTAAAAAAGATTATTTAGTTGATTATTAATATTTCTTGATTGAAACATGTCTTTTGCATACAAAATTAATATAACATATCATAACAATATTCATATAATACTCTATCTATGAAATCTCGAAGAATTCGTTTTTTTCAAATCTTCCAGCATACCGTTTCGCTCAGTTTTAGCACACCAGGCAAAGTTTTCAGGAATTCCACGTGTATGCACGTGCAACATCTGCAGAAGCAACATTCTACTCCACCGGCAGCGTGCGTGCCTGTAGAAGACATCCGGATTACAGGACCTGTTCCGTTTCTGCCCATGATTTCTCGTTCTTTGCCGATTTATTTAACGCAAATTTGACACCCTTAACTTGATCTTTGTATACCAAATAGCCAAATATATTTGCTAGGATTAGGTTCACTAAGGGCCGCCGCTCATTTAATGGAAGAATTCTTTTTCCACTTTTTTTTTTTTTTTTTTTGCTGTGCCTGGTTTCATTGACAATGTTACGCACGCATTTTTTACTTTATACAGTTGTTCTCGTTATTCTTTTTAGTTTTAGCTTCGTTTGCATTTATTCGTATATTTATTTATTTACTCGTATACTTTTATTTATTTATTGTATTCGAATGCAATCATTTTATACCGATATTCTTTACTGTGCTAAATGATGGCAAAGGGCGGAGACAATGGAACGTCGTTGCAGTGCTGTTAAGGGCGACGGCCTTTAAACTGTCTCGTGTTCACTCAGACTCTTGATTCGATCACCCTAATTGGTTAAACGACGATTAATTCGCATCATTAGATAGGCAGAGAGAACTGACTCGATGATTCGTTACACGCTCGAAACTGAGATTGATCGACAAGCTAACATACACTGTCGTTCACAAGTATCCGCGTAGTTTGGCATATTTTCGAGTCAATGACTATGATCGTCTTGGGTAGCCAGTAAATTGCAAACGTGAATTTCATTTAATATTGTAGTACTTTAAATTGTAATACAATTTTAAATTAGAGTGCAACAATACAATTCTATTTTTAATTATTAATTTTTTCATTCGTCATTTCTTCATTGCAGTGTACGTCTATCTTCTGTAATTGCAGTTCAATTTTATAATATCAAGTGGCTGCTTTATGCGACTTGAAAGAGCCAAACACTGTAGCAACAAAGAGATCTTCGAGCAACGAAATTATTCAAATTTCGATTGATTCAATTTTATCATGTTAGATTTTAAAATTCAATTTCGTACTGTCACACACAATATTCTGCTAACGACGATGGGAAACAGAATTGCGAATCTTTTCCTTCGGCGAAGAGAGCGTTCGGATACTTTTAAGCGACAGTATATACGTAGAATAGTATGCAAGTAAATATTTAACAAGCCGGGAAAGAACGTCAACCGTGTTCACGAGCTGTTTGAAACTAACTGAGGGTGTTTTCTCCGGTTGGTACAGAGCGATTTTAAATGTCGTTGCACCCCCTACGTCGTATTCGAGAGAGAAGAGATACCGATGTCTATTTCTGGCACGTGCTACGCCGAAATATGTATGTATG